AGGAGAAGAGAGAAAACCGAACCCTGTGGCACCCCACAAAGGAGGGGCCGAGGATGGGACCTCTCGCTCCCTATCACCTCCGATTGGGATCAGCCCTGGAGAAAGGAGGTGAACCAGCACAGAACCGTGCCACCCACCCCCAATTCCCTGAGCCATTCCAAAAGGATCCTGTGGTTGATGGTATCGAAAGCCACTGAGAGATCAAGGAGAGCAAGGATGGTCGCACTTTACATGGGATTACCTCTGCACTACCTAACAGGTGCAAAATGGAGCAGCCTACATGCTAGCATATGAGAGCCACTATAGCCATATAACTCTATGGCCAGTGTATAAGCTTCACATAGGTTTCTGGGTAAAATTCAAAGTGCTGGTTTTCACTTATATATCCTTACATGGCTTGGCTCCCAGGGGTCTTCAAGACTATTCTTCCATGTGGAACTGGCCTAACTGGCACGCTCACCCAGAGTAGGGATGTTGAGGGGCACAGGGCAACAATATTTTTCTACGACACCATTTACATGCTGTTCTGGATATTGTGACACTACAAAAAAGTTTGATTGCAATGTCTACGCTTCATAACACATTGAGCAACGAGCACAAATACAATTTTATCTATGACATGTCACTTCTGCTTAAACCGTAATATTATTTTCAATGCAGATATACCTTATTTGAGTATAATATTCAGGAACAAATCTCGCTACATTTCATCAACAAGCTATTTTCAGTAAGTTCTTGTATTTTAAATTGACTGTCAACACAGATACGTTCACATTATTGGTAGACCAGTGTTCAGGAAGCACAAAACTAGAGATGCAACGCACTACCATTTTCATCACAGCAGATTACTGCAGTGGTACCACAGAAATGTGACATGTGCATTTCAAAACCTGAGTTGCTCTACTGATTGCTTAATTCTAGTTTATGGATAAGACCTCACATAGTCTATGTGAAGAAACAGACTAACCAGCAGGAGTGCCATAAAGATGTACTTCCTTCACACCACCCTCCTTCCTTCACAACACCACACTTTTTATTCCTTCACACCAGACTCACAATATAACTGTATTCTCCATGAACATACATACATAGCTTCTTCATAACAATCACATTATAATTATAATACAAATCATTGTTTTGTGGAGTGGAGGAAAGCATATACTGCATGTAGTGCTTTTGACAAAAGATCTTATCTGAAACACATCTAGCTTTTAATCAATAAAACATTTTCAATGACACTTGGGATTTTAGTATCTCCTCCCTTTTTCTTTTTGCTGAAAAAAGTCAAGGAAAGTCAGTAATTACCTACAAAACTGATCACAGAAGAGGCATGAATTTGCTTGCGTATGGCCTCCAGAGTGTTACGAATAACTTTCAGAAGAGCATCAACATTGCGATGACTGAAATGGGAAAGCAGTTCCTGAGCTGCTTCTTCTAACATCTCCATTTCTTTCTTTTTTTTCTTGGTTAAAGGAGAAGACAATTCTACTGAAATCTGACTAGCAGTTTGTGAGGATGCTAAGATGTCCAATGGCCCTTCTTCTTCTATAGATGGGAATAAGAACTGAATTAGACCAGCAAACTTCTGATCAATCAATAAACAAATCATCAGTACTATTTATAGATATATACAAACTTATGCAATTCCATATTTCTTTATGGCTTTAGGGAAATATGATGACAATGAGCATTGAGTTTTAGAAGGACAACAGGAGGATGTATGAATAGGAATTGGTTGGTTCTACTACTGTCATCATCTCCATCATTTTACAATAACATGGTTAGCAACAGTGGTGTGATCCCTCCCCTTTTTCTCCACAACATGAGCATTTCAGTATTAGCGTGTGTTTTCTAGCTGTACTTTAGATTGACCAATTTAGGTTATCCTTTCAGAAACTTGACTAATGACTTAGTGGCCAAAACCTGCATATTGTCAACCCTTCGAGGTAGTCCAGACGAGAAACACAAACTAGGAGTACTAATACTACCTTTACTGTAAGGTTACAGTAACAGAATCTTGCAAGCCTGAAAGTACTTCTCTCCTCCTTTACTTTTACTTCCCAGAAAACTAAGGAAGGTTCCTTCTGAAATGCTTCCCACACCCTTTTCCTTCTGAGGGCTGAGTTACCTTTTGCATGAGGGTTGTCTAGGCTGCAGCTCTTCCTCCTGTCTCCCAAGATCATTCCCAAATACCATTACACATATATCCAGGATTCTTGTATTGTGTATTGGTTTCACTCACATTTAATTAAAATGGAAAAGCTATAAATGCTTATTACATGAGATGCCCTTTCTTACAAACTACTGTTGCGGAAAGTTTTGCTCTTACTATTCAGATGTTTCTCACATCATCTAAACAGTCCACACCCAAAATGTTTCTACCATTACCACTGTAAATATATGCTTGTATGAGCATGGAAAATGCCTGAATTGCAGAGGATTCTATCTAGAATCTTGCTCCTCTTATTTTTTAAATAACTTATAGAAATGGGGGAAATGTTCCTATTGGCTCAACTTGCATTATCTGTGTGGATTGTATGTTATGTTGTTGAAATCGATTATTTCATTCATTTATCTTATTCCATTTACTTATGTACTAACTTACAAATCACTGATGTTTTAATGAGAAGCACAAACAAGTAATGCAGTGCTAGTTTACACATGATAGAATGTCTGCTCTTACCTTCATTAATTCCTTCAGTTCTGCTTCCACTCAGAAACCTCTCACCAGCATCCCCTTTGTTCTGCGCTTCCAGGTCTAACAATATGTTGATAAGCTCATTTGTTGCTTCTTCTGCTAATGAACTCTTGAGATGCAGTGTGTATACTCCTTTAGTACAGAGCTCCTGAAAATAAAAATGTGAAGTGTTAGTTAAGTTCCACTGTAGTCTAGCAATGCTAGCAATAGGATATACCTAAGAACTCAGATCACCTCAATGTTCTCCTATGCTGCATATAAACCAAAGAAGAGAAAAGTTCCACAGCCATGAGAAACATGAATTAAGGACACTGGAGAACTCCCAACCAAATACTAAACATGCCTGATTCTAATGAGTTTCCAAGCCCAGACAAGGTAAGCCAGCTACTCCTACCTGCTGGGACTATGAGAAATATAGTTGTACTTGATTCAAAAGCAGATTCCTCCATTTGTATTATGAATATCAAGCTGACAGAAAACGGCTGGTAACGGCTGACAGAAAAGAGAATCTGCTATCAACTGACATTTCCATATTTTTAAAAAACAAATGGAGCCCAATTCCAAAGAAAGGAGAATAAATCTTTTCCCAAATCTGAACATTTTAAGACACGCAGAAGTATTACTGTGACAAAATAAATGGACCAAAGCATATCCTCAGAAGAATGTTCTGCTAATATTAATAGCATCAGATATTATCAGCTAGAACAAGTGGGGGTAAATCTCTTACAGTTTCTTCATTAGAAAGTCTCATCATAATTACAAACAGTCAACTTGGAGGCCTTGCCTACAGCCCACTGCTATTACTAGCAGGAAACAGTAACTTTAATCACTGGGAAGGGTCAAGATTAATCCCTCCCAGGTGCCTAAATTTCCGCAAACAAAAAGAAACTGTTTTGTGTAAGAGAGGTAGGAGGAATGCCTGAACTGTATGATTGTATGTAGTAGAATCGGTCTATCTGTGGTATATTTCTGCAGAAGATCAGGCAGAGATTTTCATGGCTCCACACCCATGCAGGCATGTGCACACACTGTAGTAAGCTCTAGTGTGATTTGTTTAGTTTTGGCTTTGTGCACTGTGTGAATCCAGCATTGTGGTTTGCAAACCAAGATTTATGTTGCAGTGATTCACATTAAGGCAGTCACTATAGCTTATTCAGTAAAATGTGGTTAAAATAAGTCAGCCCCAAAATGCTGGTTCTTCGTTTTTGATGTCCTTTGATTGCTGCTAAGCAGGTTAATGGAAGAGATGGACTCTCCCAGAGCAGGAAAGTTTGTCATCTGTTTGCCAGGCCTCATTCAGCCATCTTTGAAGCAAAGTGTAAATACCTATAGATTTACCCAAGCATCCCCCTGAACATTTGTCTATCCAGCAGTCCCATAGGAATACATTTTTTACACTTTGGGTAAAGTACTATAATATTTTCAACTTCTTTGTTTTAACGTTAGCTTGATTCTTGTTTCATTCCTTTTACAAATATAAGCTATCTTGGAAGGTTTTTGGCCCCTCAAAGTTTCTTGTATATCGAGAGAGAGAGGGAGTACAAGCACTTGTCTTGATGTACAACCCAGACACAGAGAAATGTTTTCCAAAAGATGTGATTCATTTTTGCTGCGACAATGTGGTGGTATCCATTGAACAGAGAGAGCAAATTGGCAGTCATTGCCACAAGGGGCCATTGCCGATTCTATGGGCAGAGTAACCAGCAGTTGTTTCTCTTCAGTTGTTTTCCTTTCTAAATCACACCCATGTTCCACACCCACACATTCTGATACATGAATTTCTATGTTACATTCTTTTCTCAAAGATATTTGTTTTTTTATTCTCTTCCTTTCATTGTAATCTCCTTCCCATTTCAGTCAGCTGGTATACACCTGGGTTGACATATCACACTAATCCATACTGGGTGTTTGACTGATTTGGCTAAACTTGTGTGAACCCAACCACAGTGCCTTATTTAAGAAATCATAGTTAAAACAAAGTATGATTTAGAATGATATAGCAATCCAACCTGGATGTATTTCCCTGGCCTCCATTCTTCCCAGCAATTTCTTAGCAGCCAGTATTCCTAAGGATTAACCTTTATTTCTAGGACTCCTTAAGCTTCCTTATATCTTGGAGTGAGTGAGGTCAAGGACAACATTTCTGTTCTTGCCCCTTCTCTTCTCTGTGCCTGATGTTTTTCTGCTAACATGCTGATACTGATACAACGGTGTACACTCTTCTGGTTTCTATTTCAGCAGTGCCTGGGTGCATAAACTCAATGAAATAGATCATGGCCACATATTACTGCCTTTTTTTCATCTTCCTCCATGAAAGAAATATTGTGACTGCATGATGCCTAAGCTGCCTACTTAAAAAAAAGACTAGCTATTGTGCTGTTGTGCTGATACTTCCTGCCTGAGCTGACTACTGTGATTCATAGCAATGCTACGTATCTGCTTTGCGTAGTGACTGGACATTGTGTCCTCATGTTAATGGTACCTGCCAAAGGAAAAGAGACAAGCCAACCCCTGTGGCTACCTTTGCCAGTCATTTTAATCAAAAAGATGCTTTCTCCTTTCTAGGTCAGATAGCAGTTTCTTAACTTATTTTCTTTTTCTTCCATCTTCTCAAACGCATAATTCAGCTCTACATGTAGGCACTACCATCTACAAATGATTTAAAAGCCACTGATGACATTTTTCTGTGCTATGCCTGCCTGATGTCTGCCAGTCTTACTATACAGCAGGAAGTAAGAGTTAGTGACTGGGAGGAATGAGGATTGTAAAAAAGAATCAAAAGTCTAACTTTCAGGATGGTCATGATTATTCTTGTGGAGTAAAAGAAAACAAAACTATTTTTTTTATTCTGATTTATGACTGTCCCATGCAAAAATTAAACAAAAAACTCCACTCAGAACTTCAGATGACAAAGAGAAGAATACTAATCTTACCTCGCTCTTTGTAACATTCTAGCTTGTTTTTTTTACAATACATTCTATTGTACTGTACTGAGAATTAATGTCACAATGCCCAACAGAGGTTTGTGGGGGGGGGGGGTTGGTGCCTTCCAATCAGTGTTGACTCCTGGCAACTTCCAGGACTAGTCCCTGCAGTTTTCTTAGCAAGATTTTGGAAGTGGTTTGCCAGGATCTTCTTGGCTGAGACTGACTGGCCCAAAGTCACCTAGCCGGCTTTGTGCCTAAGGCAAGACTAGAACTCATGGTCTCCTGGTTTCTAGCCTGGTACCTTAACCACTACACCAAACAGGCTATAAAGAAATACAAAGAAATATATTCTTTATAAAATATAAGGAAATTTCTTTATATACTTTGCAAAGAAGTATGTTTGTGTGCATGTAAGAACTTGCAATTGTGAGCTACTACTTTCACTCTGAAGGTTAGTGATTGATGACATAGATGGGTTTCCCACTAAATGAAAACTGAAACTATAGGACTGTACCTTTGTCATGTGAAGGAATTGCTCACAGGTCAGTGGATCATCTTCGGGAAGATAGCAGAGGGGCGCAGTACTGATTTCTTGAAGAACAGCACTAATACGAAATTCTACTAAGTCATTCACTTGATCAAGTAGCAGCTCAAGGTTATCTTGAAAAGCAAAGAGTAGGACACATTTCATTAAGAAGACAATCTGTTTAATAGCCAAGTCTCCCTCTGGAAACTTGGTAGTGTTAGGAGAACATGGCAGCTTTTCACACCAACTTTAAATGGCATCCTTCTAGGATAGCAGAATTCATCATCAAAATGGTCAACAGGACAAAAGAAAACATTCAAATGGGATCACTCCCTAAGATGTTCAAAACTGAATGGATCTTTTATCTTAATATACTCTTAAACGAATGAGAAAATGCAGGTGCTGACACTGAGTCTTATTACTTTGAACGCTGACCAACAACCTGTAGACTAATACAGAAAACCAACAGATGAAATTTCATATTTATTGATTTATTAGGTTATTTATCCTGCTTTTCCTCCAAGAGCTCAAGGCTGTTTACATAGGGATCATCTTTTATTTTATCCCTTTCCACCTTTCCAATAAAAGCAGAACACAAAAGCAAGTTTGCTACTTTAAATTAAGCCCTTTTTTTACAAACCACAATGGCTGTGTTCTCACAAACCAGTCACATGTGCCTTTTCCTGCACTAGAATGTGCATTTGAATGTGCACCAAGGATGGAAAGGCCCCACAGAGCAAGGACCAGGCATCTGGAAACATACTTCTTTGCTCGTGTAAATCAAATCCTTTACATTTCTTTTGCTACAGCCTCAACACCAACCCCATATCAAGTGAACTCTCAAGCAAGAAATATCAGTGAATATCAGTAGCATTTCTCTATATTGGGAAAATGGAACATAAAGGATGAATTGTCTACAAACATGCCTACTTTCTGAAGATCAAAGTGTCTATTTCCAGAAGTTAAACTAGAGAGGAAAAAAAAATCAAGCAAAAGGTAAACTTGGCAATCTTCAGCAATTTCAATCATCACTGCTAGACCTATCTATATACCACAAAGATTAGGTCAACCATATACAAAGACTTACCAAGTTTACTGAAAATATTCTGTAAATAGGTCTCAATATTTAGGGATGTCCAGGTCAGTGTAGTTATTCCTGGTTGGATCGAATCATCCACTTTAGCCACATGAGGAGCCATTAGAGTATCAAGTGGGGCTTGGATTTTTGATTTTACTCTCTTATATTCTGCCAGCATCATCTAAAAAAGGACCAACTTAAATTGTAACTGAAAGTATAATTGCAGAAATTAAGAGGAAGCAAAACAGGGTTATCAAGACTCTTATTCAGCACACTGAAGTATCAAGTGAGCAGACTTGCTTTAATGACTATCAGATTGGTAATAAAAGAACCACTTTCAAACTTCCTTTTTTGTTAGGCGATGAAACAAATTTAGCCATAATTTATTTACTTTTTTTTCACTGGTTAGAAATCAGCTTTTTATGGGTATGTTTATCAGGAAATATTACACAACTATTATAAGCCAGAAAATAACTCAGCCAATTTTTTTTTTAAAATAAAGCCTTTAAAAGTTCGTTTTATGACACTTATCTGTAACAATGCAAGAATACCTGTAGCTTATTGAAATTCTGCTTGTAGGAGTCATGCTTGTCTTGAACAGCAATGGCCAATGGTGGGATTTCTAGCCCCATACGTGCCATGCACTTTGTTTCCCTGATTAAGGTGAGAATCTCAGGATCAAAATTCACAAATATTTCTCCAGTTTCTGGAGCTTTCACCAATAATGATGCCTGAAGTCCTGCTTTAATTAGCTGAACCTAGAAATAACAAGCATTCCACATATTAGCCTCATCAAATGGCAGATTACCATAAACTGATACCAAGAGTTTTGGAGAAGACCTAGTAAACAGGTATGGCCAGACATAAGCATTTGACTTTTTCTGACATAAACAGTGATCTAACCCAGCTCTTCCAGCTATGTAGAATTTTCCATGATATTCTAACCAAGCTTGTGCCAACAAAACTGGTGAATATGCTAGTTACCTTAGCAGGGCAAATTAATTATATTGGTTTATTATGTCATACACGCACTGTTATTGCTACAGTCCCAACTGTGATTCTTAAAAAAATATATATCGCATTTACATTAGCATCAAATTATATTAATAGTAAGACGTCCCACAAGATTCATTATAAAAATACACAGCACATCATAGTACCTGTTGAAGCCATCCTCTGTGGTAGACTATCTCAAACTCGAGAAGGACTTTAGCCACTCTGTTATAGTTGCGGATTATGGGCTTTGCTTCTTCTGTCTGTAGAACTGTGGAATTTTTTTGGAAGAGATTCATGGGTTCCTGGATTCTGTGAAACAGTTGCCGTGCCCACAAGATCTTACCAGCCATAGGAGGAAGATTACGAGCCAGAGGAGGATCATTCTTGTGTTTTGAATACAACTTAGAGACCATCTCAATGTCATGATCATAGTTATGTAGGATGATCTGATATTTGTCAGCAATGCCAAGATTAGGGATTCCAAGCCTATGAAGAAGAAATATCATCATCAGAGACTTATGAAGGTAGATGTTCAGGGCATTATTTCTTTTTCAGTGAATTATTCTGAAGAGGCAGCAAAGATTATTTGGCTTCCTAAAGCAATATATTGACTCATTCATCAGTCCCATAGGACCATCAAACCGTACCACATTGATATGTCAAATAGGAGTGGACAAATCTAGGTCACTGTATAACTAAGAACAAACTTGATCTGATTTATTTGTATGTTAAAATGTGATATGTATCAAACCACATTTTGCCATGTACATTCTAAGGAGATGTATAAAAGATTTCAAATTCAAAATACTTCAAGCTCTAAAAGTAATTTTAATTCAAAATGGTTCTGAATTCAACAGGATTCTCTGACCATTTCAAAATATTTGTTTATGTATTTATTTATTTCTGTAATGTACAGTATATGGTGCTGAATTCCAAAAAGGCTCTGAGCAGCTTACAGTAATATAAAAATAAAATAAAAAGAACATTAAAAAATAACCAAACTCCAAAACTCAATGACAATCCATTTCCTAGCCATTTACACCGCAGGAAAAATAATCCAAACTGCAGCAATTGCTTACGGTTTTATGCTTGAAAGAGATGCTTCCGGGTTCAAATACTTCCAGTAAAATTGGAACATCTGTTTCAAACTTTAAAAGGTATGTTTCGGATTCCAAATGTTTTGAATTCAAAATGGTTTTCATAACGTTAATTTTACACATCAAACCACATTTTGTTTCTGGAAGTGCCCAGATCATTTTTTTAAAGAAAGGTAATGTTATTCTTGTCCTCTTATGTCTGTTAAATAAACCATATATTGTATTTGAAAGAACTTGTGGGAAGCATGGCTGCTGGGTAAATTTACCAAGATTGGTAAAGTCAAAGATCTTTTAACACACATGCATCACAATGTGATCTCAAGAATGGATGGATATTAGACTTCTTATGCTGGGTATGTATGAAAGTTGAAGGTTCTTTAGCTCATACAATTTTGTCCTATGATCACTTTGTTTTGATTTAATATTAACGTATATGTTAATATAATATGGGAATGAAATATTTTAGCATCTCAATGTGATGTTGAATTATATTTCTGAAATATGGAATTTTTCCTCTTATGAAGAATTCTGGATTAATGAGCTTGGTGTACAGCAGACAATAATCCTACATAATTAGAAAGTAAGGTACTCTCTTGATTTTAAGGAACAGATCCAAGATATGACTTTGTCATCTATTTTTTAAAGTCTCTGTGCTCTAAAAAGAAGAACAAAGTTGACACATTATATTGCTATATGGTCCAGATGTAATGATTAGGTCAACTAATGAATTAATTCCATATAGATATTTATCCTTATCATATGGATCTTTTTTGTTAATTGTTCTTTCTCTTTCTTGTTATTATGAGATTATTTAACTACCATAGTCTGTTCATTTTTTTTCCACTGTATCATCACTATTCAATGTAACCTTTTTTTCTTTTGTAAGTTATTATTTTAACAATATTTTTTTTAAAAAATGACAGAACCTCTAGATTCTGCAAATGTTCCTGCTTCTAGTCATACTTCTAGAACAGACAAGGTAAACACTGTTTAAATAAGTAATAATAAAATTACTAAATAATAAAAACTGCAAAAGGAAAATAAAGCACAGTTTCAAGCATAAGTAAAAGTTAACAAATTCTGCTTGCATGTAATGGTATTAAACATTGTGTTACCTATCTTAGTCAGTATTATGCTTGGACTCAACTATAATAATAAAATGGCTAGAGATAAATTAGCCATTTATATTATATGAAGAACAACTAGTACCAGACACGATCAATGGTATTTTGTTTGTGAACAGATAAATGATACCATTCTTCCAGCACTGAGAGAACTTCAGATCACCCACTGAATGCACCTATTTCACAAACTAAGATAACTGGACTTTACTGTTCCTGCTGCTAGGGTTTTTTTTTAATAATTAAAAAACATTCTTTCTTTCTATATGCCATAGGGTTAGGCTTTATTGCCTAAAATGCTTTATTGACTAAAAGCAACATTTTCAAAATTTGATTCAAAAACAAAAGACTATGAAAGCATATTGGTCTGTTATAATTCCAGACTATTCCAAGTAAAAAGTCATCATGGTTAAACCTTTCAAATTTCTTCAGCATATCAAGGGCTCTTTCTGTGTTCAAAATCTTTTCAAAGGTAGTGTCCATAAACATCTGTAATTGGTGCTGGAGAAAGGAAACAAAAGGATAGAGAATGTTGATAAGCACATTCATATAAATCAGATATATAAATAATTCATATAAATTATAGATCAGATAAGCCATTTTTACCCATGATTTACGGAATAAATTACAACTGGCAAGATTCCACCAAACTCTGAAGTCCTAAACTATGGTGCAGAGAGCACAATGACATGGTTCATATAACATACTAAGCCAAACCCAAGCAATTATTATTGTTAATTTATTTTCCACCTCCAGGAGCTCAGTTGCTTATACCTAGTTTGTCGCTTGAACATAGTTTCCAAGGTTCTATTACATTCTTGTACAACTGTAATCAAGAAAGAAGCCAGTCAGACTGGAGAGCCCTTATGGCACAGGCAAAGTGAGAATCTGGGGGCTGCTACTGTGATTACTGTTCTGAAGGCCACAGGCCAGAAGTGAGTGAAACCAGTTCAAAATGGACAGGATCACTCATGTATTGCTGAGCAACCAAGGTGAGTTTTTTTTCCCCCCAAGCCAATCTGCCACATGGAACATATGGCTTCATTAAGAATGAAGTTCTCTCAACATCCTCTATCTCCAGCTATGTTCTTCTCTCCCCATTTCTTCCATATAAAATATATGTTTGTCATTAAATTTGAGGGAAGAATGAAGTGCTACTTTGGTGGACTGAACAGGGAGGGAAGATGGGATACCACATAGAAAAGACACACCTTAGCTCCAGTGTGTAATTTCCTGAAGAAATTATATAGGGCATTACCTTCCTATACCACTTTGAAATTCTGCAAGATGAAATATTCATGCCAAGATTAGCACAGTTCTATATAAACTGAAGTATTTTTTGGTCCAAACTCACAACATACATGATGTAGGAAATACAACAAAACCTTGATTTAACAGACCTTCATTTAGTGGGCTTTATATGTAAAGGACTGGATTTCTATCTCAAAATTCCTCTCAAATAATGGGCAAGTCTGCTGTATCCCAAGTTGTCTGGAGAAGTCAGTTAAATGTATGTCAATTTTACCTTAATTTTATGACATCTGTGGTGATTTGTGTCATCTGCATAAGTACATTACACAAAGGATGAAAATCATTGCAATAATACACTTCTGTATTTAATAGGCATTTGGGAGTAATGGTCACTTCCTCCCCCATGTGATCTATTAAAATGAGGTTTTGCTGTATGAATTTTAATGAATTGACCAACCCAAATAGAATATTATTAACAATTTTAAAAACTATAAAGTTGGGAAGAACCAAACCTACATGTAGTTCATTTGTTTGCTTGCAAAACTCTTCATAGTCCTGGTCAAAATCAGTTTTCCTCTGATCTAAGAAATTGTACTGCTTTTTCTTTATAGTGGCAACAATACTCTAAATGTAATTGGGAATATGAATATTTGAAAGGTTATATTATTCTCATCATTTCTTACACTTATAAGAGAGAGAGAGAGAAAGAGATTCATTCATGACAGAGAATGAAAAATAACCAAGCACACATTTAATGTACAGAATAGTAAGTTATAATGTGAAGACTATGTTTGCAACCATTACAAGCTAATGTTTTGCAACCCAATGAGTTCTCTCTGAAACACAATTCATTTTTCCAAGGAAAATAAGTATTCAAACATGCAAAAATGCACAACACATCCAAGTTACACACTTTGGTGGAATGAAAATGCTTTTCACAGAAAACATATAGAAAAACCATAAGTCATTTTCACCACCGCAAATCACAGCATTAACAGCCCTGTCATGAATTACCTCCCACTGATCCTTCATCACTGCAGTCTGTACAAGTGAAAGCATAATACCGTAAGACATTTTACTACATTAATATTCAGCAACTGTGTGAAAGCTCAGGATCCCTTATAACATCAAAAAAAATAGTTTCCACAATTCTCTGGGGAATGTTATGAAAGCTGAACTGATAAAATGCCAGTATTGTGATTAATACACTTTGAGAATGATTTGAAATAAATGTTTTGGAATTCACACAAGTGTAACACCTCTCTGCCACAAATTCAAGCAACAATATCTTTTTTTCAGCTTTCTGCATGAGTCTGAAAATAACACAACTACTTTAAGAATCATATTAGATAACTTCTTAAAGCAGCTACATCTTTTTTCTAGCTTGTGCAGAAGTTTGGGAAAATGGCAGGCTTTTTTCAATGAATAACAAAGGGATGCTATGTTTACACAAATCCAAAGCAATTCTTCAGCCTCATTTTTGAAGTATGCATAGTCGTAGCTCATATAACTTCATAGCGAGCAGGCCAAGATCTTGAAATTTCAGGCTCATTATAAACCTTGTTCTTACTGGGACACTAAATTGTGGTGTGTGTTTTTTTCTGCATTACTTCTCTTTTTTTTTAGTATTAATTTTTATTGAAGAAATTTTTTACAGATATAATTTTTTAAAATACAAATTTAAAGAAGAAAAAGAAAAGTAAAGTAAAGTGATAAGTAAAAAAGAAAGAAAAAGAAAAAGAGATAAAGAAGCAGCTTCCGAGCTTCTTTAATGCTTTTACAGTATATTTTATTCTCTCTATATATAGTTATATTGTGGCTCCTGTCTTTCCATATTTTACCCTTTCTAATTGTCAAACCCATAAATAACAAGTTCATTTTTTTTCCATTTTCAGCAAAAAGTCCTTACAGGGTCACTGACAAATGTAGTTATTGTCTTTTTCCTAATCAGACAAGTCAATTTTGCCATCTCATCAAATTCTGATTTTCTGTATTACTTCTAACCCCAGAGAGAGAATTATTTTCCCTACAAAACAAAGCAACTGACATTGTTCCATATAAAGCTAGACAGAAAGAAGAGTTTTAGGTCACAATTACCATTTCCATCCTTTCAGTCTTGCAGTCAGCAATAATATGGGATATAGCCAGAGAGCAGTGCTACCCAGAGTTCTACCTCAGTATGCTCAAATTTGCCAGCCATGAAAATAAGATGTTGTCACCAGAGAGGCATGGGCAAGCAGTCAGACTGCTTTCCTACTGGGGGAACTAAAGGAACAGCATGGCATCAGCAGCCATGAACTAAATTATACAGGCAACAGCACCACAGTTAATAAACACATCTATGCATTTTCCATAGACAGCATAATTTTAAAAAATGCACAGAGCATAGGAATGTATTCTCAAGCTACAGTCAGTGCTCCCATGATGGGTGCAAGCAAACAGGAAATCCAATAACTTCCTGGTCATGAACTACTGGAGAGCCAGTTTGATGTAGCGGTTAAGGCACTAGGCTAGAAACCGTGAGACTGTGAGTTCTAGTCCTACCTTAGACGTGAAGCTACCTGGGTGACCTTCAGCCAGTCACTATTTCTCAGCCCTAGGAAGGAGGCAAGGGCAAACCACTTCTGAAATCTTGCCAAGAAAACTGCAGGGACTTATCCAGGCCATCACCAGGAGTCAACGCTGACTCAAAGACGCGCGCACATACACACACGCTATTAAGTTGACTGGAAACACAAGAACTTACGTTGCAGGAAGCCATTAAGAGCTGCTTATGTAGGGCTACCAAAATTTGAAATACATTCAGTAGGGAAACTGTTTTACTTATAACGGCATACTCAGCTTGGGCAAGCGGTTAGTGTTAGACATTTGACACAAACTGTCAACTCAGGTGATGACCTTTGAAGCAGAGAGTAATGAACAGGCTAACTCTACAAACAGCTATCACAGTGGTTGGGTTCAAACCTCACATTAAATCACAGTCTGTTTTAATACAGCTTGCTGAAAAGGTCATAGTGGCCTGTTTCATAGGTATTAAACATTCATCATCGTTTACATAAAACAGTGGCTGAATTCACATCATGCTAAGTGAGAAACAAACAAATATTATGGCTTAGTGTGATGTGTAAGCTCAGAAGCAGTTCAGCTGAGGTAGTCTTTAGAATTAGGAGAGTTCCTAATCCAGCAAAGAGTTTTTTCTATCTCTAATAAACTCTCCCTAGGCAATCATTCAAATATTTTGCACTAGAACTGTAGGAGACTCCACCCCTACCATTCTTATGGTCAGTGGTCCGAAATGCTATGCTTACAGTCCAAAATATCTGGAGGCCAAAAAATTGTCTGTTCTTCAGGACCCAACTACTACTGGTAAAAATCACTGCATACCTGATACTTAGTTGCCATCACTTCTAGTCCTTCCATCTTGGACTCTTGTAAAATTGAGTAAGTTGTGATAGTATCGAAGATGTGCATAATCTTAAGTAGGCGGCGATGGAAAGTTTCAAATTTTCCAAAGATATACATCTCACTAAAATCAAACTGCCGTTCAGCTGGATTCTCTTCCAATTTCTGTTTGGTCTTGTGAAAACAGTTTTGGTACTCCTTAGCAACATGAACCAAGATAGAAATAAACAGAAGTATTAATTGCAACTTTGTTCATAATACTCCTAAGGACTTATTCTATGTAACTTTGCTATATTAAAATATTCTTGTTTTAAATCAGAAAGGCTCTTAAAAGTTATTTTCCCTAGTGAAATTCAGATAAAATTTTGCACTTTTTGTTTTGGGAAACTACATCCTCCTCAATTCTGGCTCAAGCAGAAAGGTTGTATTTACTGCTTCTGTCTTCTACCAAGTGTAAAGATTACCTGCTTAAGTCTTATAGCAGCTTGTATTTTTTCCAAAACTACATCTTGCGGTTGATCCCAGATGGTGGCAGTGTTGTTATTAGTAATATATGCTTTGCAGGCTGTTATCATTTGATTTGTAACCTGCAAATAGAACAATAGGCTTTGTCTTAAGAAACTTGCATGGAACAAAGAGGGTTAAGGCCCATTTTCTCTTAGAGCAGTTGATAACATCTGATGTTGCTTCATCCACTTTCAGATGTTGCTAAACTACAATTCCACATAACTCACTACTGGTCATACTGAATCAACTGCTGAGTTTCACTATTTACTTCCCATTGTAGATTTTCCTTTAGTTCCCTGTTTGCAATTAATGTAGCCTGTTACTCTTCCCCAACCAGCTGTTTGGAAAAATTAGGTGCAACAAAGATGTTCTACGGTAAAAACAATGTGGATGACCTCAGGTCAATATGTCTAGTTCTATGGGGGTATAATGTAATGATAAGCCAATTTCATTTATCCTAATAGTCTGAATGATTTGTCAATGATCTCCATTTCAGGGTTCAACAGATCCTATTTCTTATTACTTAACTTTGTGTTTTCTATCTTCTCTATATTTCAAAAATTATATATTGATACTGAAGGAAAATTTCTATTGTCTAAGATGGATAGGCACCCAGAGTTGTTGAGAGTCAGGTGGCATACAAATTTAAATAATAATAATAACAATTATTATTATTATTGGTCGCACAGTCAGCCAGATGTTTAGACTGGATTTGGCATTTTTATCCACCTACTGAGTCCTTTCCAAGGACCTGGGATAGGCAGATGTTGTTTGATGGTGTTAAAGGTATTATCGCAGAATATAATTTGTTCCAAGTAAAGCTGCCTTTTGCAACTGACTGATGGTGATTTTGTCAATGCCAATGGTGTTCAAGTGGTGCTCCAGATGTTTTGAGGTTGGACCTAAGGCACCTATTACTACTGGTATTATCTTTGCTTTCTTTTATCACAGTCATTCTATTTCTATC